AGCACTGGGGGGGGATCACGTTGATCCCGATTTATCACACCCCAGCAGAGTAATTCCCCAGCTCGCCGGTGCCCGGCGAGCCGAGCTCCTTACGTCCAGGGATCAGATTAGTCTGAAAGGTGCTAGAGAGACATAAATCCAGCTCTGGAGTAAGTGTTTTATTAAAGTTCGCTTGTTTGTTTTTCTTTCAGTTAACGGTAATTTATCTAGAAATAGCTGATGGAAAATACCTGATGGTGGAGGGGCCAGGACTGGACCTGGGTAATCATAGAACGGTTTGGGTTGGAAGGGATCGTAAAGGTCACCCAGTTCCAACCCCCCTGCCCTGGGCAGGGACACCTCCCACCAGACCAGGTCGCTCCCAGCCCCATCCAGCCTGGCCTTGAGCACTGCCAGGGAGGGGGCAGCCACAGCCTCTCTGGGCAGCCTGTGCCAGTGTCTCACCACCCTCACAGAATTCCGTCCTAATATCTAATCTAAATCTCCCTTCCTTCAGTTTAAAGCCATTACCTCTTGTCCTTTCACTACATGTCCTTGTAGAAAGTCCCCCTCTAGCTCTCTTGTAGTCTCCCTTTAGGTACTGCAAGGCTGCTATAACATTATATCATCAAACATATATCAATATAATATACTGATATATTAATGTATCATATTGATATTGATAGATCAACACTGTAACATCAACCATATATCAATATGATACCCATATGAATCCGTAACATCCACGTATTATCCAATATTACCATTTTGACATTGGTATTGTTAACATATCGTATATCAACCCCCTTATTTCACATCAAGGCAGCTGCAACGTGTCTTTCGTGCTTCATACCTGGGTCTGTCTCCAGCCAGGGCTACCAAGTCTGAATGCATCTCAAAGAATTCCTCATTTAGGGCTTGACCAAACTTATTTCACGAACCTGTGTGAATGCTTTTGATTATTTTGGTTCGACAAATAAACTGCGCTGGAGAAAAGTAAAAAACCTTTACTATCGAAAGGAAATGTTAGATTATTTAATCTCACATAGCACTTTGCTTTTGGCCTGTAGTGATCTGTCACCTTTTGCCCCACCAAGACATTTTTAAAAGATGTGCAGTTTGGGGCCGAGCAAATCCCTTTTGCATATTTTTCTGTGCTCCAGCACATGAACTCAGTCACCCGTACACCCTGCTCAGTCTTTCCATTTAATTTCCTTCCAGCTTTCCACGATGGACTTCATGCCCCCATCGCACCGAGACTGGCTACATGTTCCTGGGAAGCACTTCGGGACTCTCTGGAGATATAAGATATATTATTTATCCTACATTCATGCTATGAAGAGCTGAATATGAAGTCAGTTATTATGGCACATGACACTTCAGTACAAATCATTCTACTGGGTCTGTTGGTAGGGCTGGAAATGCTGAGGCAAGAGAAGAAAGCAAGTTGGAAGACACCTCCCTAACCCAGAAGGACTGCCATTGTCTTCAATTTTTTGGGTAACACCCTGCTGCTCCCTGGCCATCACTCCTGGACTTCATTTCGGATTCCTTAGCATCGCTCAGCCAAACGGGGGAACACACAAGAGTGACCTGGCATGGGAGGAGTGGGATGCTCAGATGGGTTAGAGGCCCTTCCGGCCCTTTGCTGCTAAATCGGGGACTGATGTTGACCACAACTTATCTCCTCCTGCTTTATAACAGCTTTGGAAATAAACCAGTCAGGAAAAAAATCACTGCCTGGCACACATGACGGGCAGATGTGCGTGCTGCCCAAGGGCTTTCCAAGGGAAAGCGGAGAAGGAGTGGGCACAGGGAGAGATGCTGGATTTGATATGCTCCCAGAGCAATGAGAGAAGCAAAGCTGGACGAGTGACCTTGCAGAATTACCTTAGGTTATATTAAATATTGATTTTCATTGTTTTCCTGCTTTCTGTGTTGCCCAAAAGCCAATTCAGCCCGCACAAGGTACAGGCAGCCAGGCACAGCACCCAAGGGATGACCTCCAACAAGAGCAAGAAGGGCAAGAAGATGTGACACAAACTGGAGCGAACGTGTGCGGAGAACAGAGAAATGAAACGAGAGCTTTGAACTGCGGATGACACGTGTGTGTGAAGGAATGTCCCCATGGAAACATATATTAAATTAAGGATGGAAATTCATGGTTTCAGCGCTACATGTCCTCTTTCCAGAGCGGCAGAAAGATGGAGCTCCATGTGACACCCTCCCCAGAAAGCAATCCCCCCCCCCGCAGATGGTGGTGGTACAGTAAAACACACTTCTCCCAGAGACCATGGGTGGGTGAGGACAGTTTCCCCATCACACACCATTATCATGGACCAGTTATTGGAGCCGCTGCTTTTTTCTCCCCTGCAACTTTGCTGTCATCGCTGGTTTTGGAGCAGAACAATCAACCAGTGCTGTGTGCACCAACAAACAAGTCACCCAGAATAATTAGCAAATACACAGGTTGTTTCAGTCTGGGTTACAATCAGAAACCCTTCAGCCAGGTGATGCAAGCAACAGCCTACTCAGGGACCATGACTTAACTTGATACCTCTGGTGCTGTGATGGACTTCAGCTGAGAAGAGCGGCAAAGGCGGTCCACTGTAAGACCCTCCAAGTTCACTCCTCTTCATGCCATGGGGGTGCTGCCACAAGCAACCCACTCATTTCACAGATGGCCCTGGCGTGAGACGCTCTATTTCCACATACAGCTCATAATTTTAATCTCATTACCTGCAACATGTTGAGGAGCAGGCTCCGGAATTTGGTTCCTTCCACCATGAAGAGGGCCATTTTGTCACAGAGCTTGGCTGCCGTGGAAGCAAAGCTGCGGTCCGTCACTGCTTTCTGGTAGATGGTCTTGACTATCTCCCCCAGCATCTCCTCAGAGTTGGTAGAGTTCTGGGCCTCCTCCATGAAGGTGGTGAGCTTGGCGTCAACGTCGCTACTGTTGTTCCTCATGCTGTTGAGGATTTCAATTAATTTGTCCATTTTGTTCTTTTCAGGATTGGTGGTTTCCACCGTGACTTCGTCCTGGTCCGTGAAAAGGGAAAGACAAGGCGTCTGTTACACAAGGAAAAAACAGACATATCAGCCCTTGTCCTTCCACAAACAGCAAAGGGGGAAGGGGACTGGGGAGACATACAAAGAGACATATAAAAGTCAAAGCATCTTTTAGAAGCACAACGGTCTCATCTCAGCTTTGAAAACCGCAAGTGAATGAGCCCTGCCCTGGAAATGTTCCCTTTTCCCATTTCCCACAGCACTCAATCCCAGAGTCCTCCCCCTCGGCTCAGGAAGAAGATGTGCTCAAGGGTCCTGAGCCAGGATGCCAAGGTCTGAACACCCCTGATGGCCTTTAGCATCTTGGACAAGTTTCTGTGGGTGTCTGCAACATAGTGATAATGGACTTTTTTTTTTGCCTCTCATTTGAAAGCGCATCGACATTTGCAAATGCTCAGATAACAATCCTACAAAAATATCTGGTTTTTAATACATATTTAATGCTCTAAATTGAGATCAACGATGTCGCATGATCCCAGCATTAGAAAAACTCTTTAACTTTTCCATCTTTTGGCTGTTACAGCTTTCACTTCACGTCACTGTCATAGAATTTACTGCTTCTTTTCAACATTTGATTACGCATTTGCCCCTTTCCCCCAGTGTAAGGCATGCATCCTGCTTGCTCTGGTCTGCTCCTTTCTCCTCCTCTAGTTCAATCTTAAAACATCCTATAAAATACAAACCCGTAGCAATTTTTCAGACAACGCCAACCAGCAGCTGGAGTTGTCCAAAACTCCCATCAGGAGGCCACTTGTGTCGACAACACCCACCCAAGAGTGGGCGCTTATGCGATGGGTTTCTTGTAAGACCATAAATTAGCAGGGAGAGTATTAAAATGAATACTCTGAAAGTCTCTGCTATACTCCTATCGCTTTAAAGAACATAAAAATAACTAACAAAATCTCTTCCTCCCCCTCATGCCACATACATAAATAGTAAATGCACATGCATTCAGAGATATACATTTCCAACGCGCACTGCCATGGAATTGTATATGTTCAGGTTATTTTTGCTACGCATTTTGGAAATCTCATTGGAGATACCCCCACGGATGCACTTTCCAGTCTGATAAAAGAATCCCGAGAGAAAGAATCTGAGTTTCACAAGGGGCAAATGGAGATATCATCTCCAAATTCCTCAGAAATCTGAGGCTGAATATTGTTTCCAAAAAGGATTTCTCCTCCGTCACTTGCATGCAATAGTTTTGTTATTGTTGGGTTGTTGGAAGGAAGGGGGAAAGATAAGGGTGTTTCAATTCATTGCTGAGATAAATGGATATCAACTTTTAAGTAACTGACTCCAACTGTTCAGCACTCAAAAGTCAAAGCTCTGTAGCTGTGGAGACAAATCACCTTTTTTAGACGTCTTTGCAAAGCAGATGAGCTCTGCAGACTGGGAGGCAGTCAGCTGGGATCGGCCACTGGGGAAGAAGTGCCGACACTGTAGCTCACATTTGCATCAGCCTTCCCCAAGGGCCTTTTTGTGCGCAGGGAGAGAGTCCCCAGTCCTTCTTGGAGAACTCACACTGGTAGCAACCTCAACCAAGAAGTCAAGCTAAGAGCCTTGGCTCTGTGTTAATAAAAGACCTCCTGAAGAAGACACTTCGAAAGAAGTGTTGATGCTGGGTGATTAAGTTGGGCGTATTCACGGAAAGGTCCCTCGATCCCTACCCACCCTTTGTATGGAGAACGGCCAACGGCCAGACTCTGGGAAAAAGGGAAACTCAACACTTCCCTAAGAAATAATACCTTTTCTTTTAGTCTCCTCCGCAGCCTGTCTTTGGAAGACTGAAGCAAATTGATCTTGGGTCTTTCCCCAATGCGCTCGTGAATACTGTCTTTCCGTTTGGTCTCCGACTCCTGGATGTACTGCTGAGACTGCTTCTCCACAGCCTCCGGGCTCCGGTGCGTCTCCACAGGAATATGCACCGTACAGATGGAGCTGTCCTCAATTTTCAAATTCTCAGTCTCTTTGGCATTTCTGTGAGTTTCTTTGTCGTTGGGCGAGTGCTTCTGGTTGTGGTGCCATCGCCGGTTCTGGCTGTAGCCATGGTGGCCCGTCCTGCCTGAGGAGTGAGGGGCCTGGCCTCCTTGGTAGAGTTTCTGGTGGTCCCTGTTGTGTTTGGTGCCACCTTGCTGATGATCTGTGTGCTGTTGAGACTTGTTCCCACCGGGAAGTCTCTGCTGTCGCCTGGAAAGTCAAAGAAAAAGTTGTTAGCTCACCCTTTCCTGCATGGTCCTGTTTGGTCAACACAACTGTCCCACCGAACAGCCTGGCCCTTGGCAGGTGGGCTCTGTGATTCTCCCCACCACAAAAGGGGAGCCTTGGCATCCCTTTTTCTTGGCATCTAACACAACCTAGTACCAACTCATGCCTCCCAATCTCTTTCAGTAACAGGCCTGTTTCAGCTGAAAGTTTTCATGAACAGTTAGATAACATGACATTGGTTCCCAGGAAAAGCTCTCCCAGGTTTGTGTGTTTTCTGTGGTGCTTCCACACTAAACCAGGGAAGACCTGGTTAGTCCCAGCTGAGCAGCGGGAAGTCAAGCAGGCAAGAAATACCAGATTTTTTTTTTTTCTGAAAAGCTAAGCAGCTCCTGATGCCTGGCCTACAGCATCGCTTGCTCCTTTTGCCTGCCACCTCTGCTGTGCTGACATGGCATACTGCTGCATCGGCTTGCAGTGAACCATTTTAAGTGTACCAGGAATTTCTAAGTGGAAAAAAAAAAAAGCTGAAAAGCAAGTTACTGAGCAAAAGAGATGCCCACACCAAACGGTTTTGTTTGGCCTTTCTTCATGCATTTTCTTCATCACAGCTACACCTGGACAGAATGCGTGCATGGATGAAGAAGATGAGGACCACATTTGGCTCCAGCAGCACTGGGAGCCAGGACCATTACCTCTGGATAAGAGCCTATGTGAATACAGCTCCAAACGGATAACAAGGAAATTCAACAGCCACAAGGAAGAAGAAGAATTGCCCACAAATGGTTTTTTTAAGAGACTACAGCAGCTCAGAAGGGGCAAGCAAGCCCCTGTGTGCTGGCCATAACTGGTAGCTGAGATGGCAGGTCCCCAAAAACCCAGTGATCGAATGGAACAAATGCTTTGGCAGCCTCGGACACTTCAGATTTCCAAATGGGCTGCCGCCTGGCTGTCCTGAGTGGAGGAGGCAGAGCCTGAATGCCATCATCAACGATGCAATTAAGACGGAGATGGTCCTGGCATCGGCTGCCTTCACCCAGGACAGCGCAGGGTTAGCCCTAAGCACGGCGGCAGCTCCCTGTCTCCTTGCTGCCTTTCCAACACTCAGCATTGGCTCTGACGGCACATGGGATGCTTCAACGCTTGGCTCCTTACAAGGCTGCCGGGAGCAGCGTTGGAGGCTTGCACAGGACATCACCCCAGCACCACCCCTCAGAAGAGGGAAACAACTGTGGCCGCTGCGGTGAACACACCGGTCTGCATCTGTACTGGTTTTGTAGCCGTTATAATCCCCCTGCTCAGCCTCATCCCACACCCCAAACCATGGCCTCTGTTTGGATAAATAGCAGCCTTTATTTTAAACTCGTTGCACAGCAATTAATTTTATTTTCATCATCTCCACCGCTCAGCTAAGGGCGCTCCGACGAAGGAAGCGGCCATTCACAAATGCATTTCAATGGTCAGCGGCTAAACAGTCTCCAGCCCTGTCTGCCAAAGCCATCTGCCCATCAAATCTGTATTCCTTGGCATCCCCAGGAGTTAAAACCTATTTTCTGAGGCCAACTGGCTCTTAACCATAAAGAGCGAGGGCTCATGTTTGGCGAACGCAGGACGAAGAGGCTTGTTCATGGTGGTGGTGGAAAGAATTTGTATTTTGTCTCAGACCACCAGATCCAGTTTTTTGAGATATTCAATGTGTTGGGTTTTTTTTTTGTTTGTTTGTTTGTTTTTTTCAAATGAATGGCAGGGAATTAAAAAACAACAGAGAAAAAAAAAAAAAAAAAGGAGGAGATGGGGGAAGCTTTCCTGTTTGCTGGAGCTTACAAGCATTTTATGAGTACAGATTCTCCACATCAAGTTTTCCTGGCATTTCTTTGTTTCCTCTCAGTAACGCAATCACATAAACCGCTTTGTAAAGAGCAACGCTTATTAAAAGGGGAATGTCAAAATAAAAGTTAGTTAAACCCCTTATCTAGTATTTAGCCCCCCCATGCTAAGTGTGCAAGAGGTGCTGACAGTATTCAGCGTTTGCTTTCTGTGGTTTTGCTCTTCTCTCCTCTCAAATGTCTGAGTTTAACTGTTTGGGTGCACTTTCAGCCTTGGGTTATAAGCCAGACAGGCTGCTACTGTATTTAAGTTGCAAATATTGCACAGAAATGATAAAAGTTGCACACAGACACGGCTTTAATTTAAGCAGAGGTAAGGCAAAATGCCTGGAAATGAGCTGGGAACCAACCTCTGCTGTAAATTCCTCCAAGAAATGTGTGCAGGGACATTTTTTTTCCTAAAGACATAATGATACTATAAACCATTTCTGTTTACAGGCTGTGAAAGAAAAAAGGTTTAAGATTAAAAAACCCCAATCAGTTAAGCCAATGTGGAATGTGAAGATTTTTCGGTTTGTGGCTTTTGCAATAGGACAGGGAGAGGACAGGCAGCTCCATGCCTGTACAGGACAGCTAAAAGGCAATATCCCCATGGCAAGGGGGAGAGCAAACACAAACTGAAGCTCTGTAGTCACTGACCACAGGATGGAAAACATCAGAGTTAAATAAGTTAAGGGAAAAAAAAAATTGCATGAAATAAAAGGCAAAGGAAGGAGAATGGCAAACAAGAAGCAACGTCCGTGACTTGGCAGCAGACAAGGGTCTAGACAACCATCCAGCGTCAGGCAAAGACTCGTTTGTACTTTTATCTTCCCAACACCCCAGCAAAGAAGAAAAGCCAAGAAGAAACAGGACTCTGCAGCGAAGAAGAGCCAAAGCAGGGAGAACAGGGCCCAGATCTTAAAAACTTTTTTTGACTGCAGAGCATCCCAAAACACAGGAGGTTGGGGTGACTCTCAGGTATGACTGAGATGCTGGGAACATGGAGAGGCCCAGAAGGGGCCAAATAGGGACCAGGGCACCCCACCACACGCATCCACTGTGGACTGGGTTGATGGAAACAACCTCGTGCTTGCTCGAGGGCAGGAGAGCTGAGATGGTGGCTTTGCGTGCCCTGCAAAGCTTAGGGAACCGGACCGTGTAGGAACCCAAGACACTTCCCAGCCAGGGTTAAAATGATGCTGAAGGGAGGATGCTGAAGCTTGAATCATGCAGCAACATCTCTGAGAAAAGGAAGAATTCACCCCAGAAAAACGCCACAGCGACTGGGAAATCCTTCTTCCATCCTCTCTGACCACCCTTTGCTGTAAGGACACGGCGCCTTGCTACTTCAGCTATGAGTCTATAGACAGCACAACAGTCTCTTATCTCTGGACTCTGTTTAATGGTAAATAACTATTTTCACTTCCAGGGCCAAATTCTGATTCAGTTCAAAAATCCCCCCCCCGACTTTAGTGGGACCCAGGATTTGGCCATCAGTCAGCGTGGAAACTAATGACACATTCAGAGTCACAAAGAAACTGCAGAAGAACTAAAAACCAAGGGGAGACATTCAGGGTTGACAAGCTGGAAATAGGATGGTATCACTTCTGCTATCGTTTCTCCACCGATTTTTTTATTTAATTAACTAAATGAGATACCTTTCAACAGAATTTAGATCTGACAAATGTCTGCTCTGTTGGAGGAGCCTACGCAAACAAATCTAAGGCTTCAGCTGTCTCGGTGATTACAGCCTACGTGCTCAGAAACATGGGATTCCTACAAGTTTTTACTACATCGTTTGCTCCCAAGGAAAGGGGCTGGAAGACACAAGCCTGGGGAAAATAACTCCAGACACGTGGACAGCTGTGGTCTAAAACACAGTTGCTCTGTCCTGTCAGCCCTGCTCCTATGCCAGCCCCGAAGTGAGACAAGTCCTCTGAGAGCCCCCACCATTTGTCTGGCATGTGGAGAGCCGGAGAACAATGCGGGGTTACATTCTCCTGCTGGTTGCACGAAGATTCGGTTAGGCAATTGCAAATACCGAGAGGTAAGGAGCTACATCTCCAACAGCACTTGAGACATTGACCCTGCGGCGCAGAGCAACCCGTACAGCTGAACGGACAGAGATCTTGTCCGTGGGCTCAGGGACTGGGTGCTCTGGACATCCCGGCTGTTGCCTTTGAAGAACTTGCCTGGACACCACAATTGCCCTCAATCCCAGGCAACTCTCTCACGGGACAAACCCTCCGGGGCATGCTAAGCTCAGGGGAAGGATGCTGGTTTTGTGCTGGTTTTGTCCTGCTTTTGTGCAGAGCCTGATACCTGGTGGGCATGGCCAGGGCCACCCAGGAATCAATAGCTAATACAGACTTGCAGCCACTTGGGCAAGGGGTTGAGAATGAAGAGCGGGTGCCGTGGCCAAGGTCAAACCTTCTACGTCCCCTTCATCCCTCTGGTGCTTGAATGAAAACATTCCTCACCGCATTTTGCAAACAGAAAGGTTACCTCCACCCTTTGTTCTGCCCAGGCAGGATCTCATCTCTGTGCCAGGATCAGGCCCAGGAATACGATGATAAGTCTTGGGAGTATCTCATGATCAGCTTTGCTATTAACACGCCTGCAATTAATTCACAATTGCCATTAAAAGGTACAGATTAAGATCTGCTGCAGAAACGGACTCTGTGGGACCTTCAACTCCCATGAGGATCCCAGATCCCACTTATCTGTGACACTCCTCCAAGCCGGAGGAGCAGAGCACCCCCAAGGCATGCAGCAACTGTACCTGCGAAGGGTGGACTGGTGGGGCTGGTTCTATGGAATGAAGGGTCACCTCTCTCCACCTTCTTTTTCAAAATTCCAGAGTAATTTTCCACTGAGGGAGGGAAATTAAAAGCCAGTACAGTCAGAAAGCTCTTTCTGGCTGTACTAGCTAGCTCCCCAGGATACTCAGCCTGAAAAGGGAAAGGGCAGGAAGAAGCAAAGTCCTCCGAAACGTCCTCTGAACAAACCAATCTCTCCAATTTTCTGAACTAAGCACATTCCAGCTGCTTCACCTTATGTGATGTGGCCCCACAAATAACGGGACTGGCACCCCTGAGCAGGTGCTGCTGGAGGTGT